GTGTGTTATATTTAACATCACAACCCAACAACTGACAGGGCAATATGGGAAACACGTTCAGCCACTTAACAGGCAAACCACAGTCAGGTTATTTAGAACTACTGAAATACTAAGGTATAGAATAATACCAAGTGTTAAAATGCTTTAGAGACACCAGTAAGACGCTTTTTTTAACAGCTGGAACATAGCCTTTAGTGGCAGAGACCACAACACATTAATTGTGAGAGATACTCTACACATACAAGATATTGTATATGGACAGTAATCTTGTTTTGACCTATCCCAAGTCCTCATGGCTCTAATCTTGCATCTTCTCAAAGCCCACCTGGCCAGTCCTGTTTTAGACATTCTCCCAGCTCCCCTCCTTACCTATCTTATGTCCCATGCTTCTACAACATCCACCCACCAAAATTATTGCTAGAATTGGTCCAGTGAACTTCTCTCAGTGCAGATACTTGTACTGTAAGGAATATTGACATGGCTTGTGACAACAACTCGGAAAATGAGAATTAACAGTCCTTGCTACAGACTTAGTCAAGGTGAACTTAGTGACGTCTTGCTTTCCTGCCCCAGAAAGGCTTACTCCAAAGGATTAATTTTAAATTATGTTGCAGTAGACTGTAGTCAACTATTTAAAACATGGGGGTTTTTGCAGCAGAAGCTCAGCCATTTCTTTACTAAATAGGACATGGAGAGAAGTGCCTTTATTCTTATTATAACAACTATTGTGGTAATGCAGTATTTGAGTAACCTACCCCAAGGGTATGCTATCCTTTCCACTTCACACTGGCTACAGCCTCCCTGTTATCACAGGAATCCACAGAATTCTCTCCTTCACATGAACTCTTCTAGCTTCATTTTAAACTACATAGAAGCAGTTTCCCTTCTTCCCATAAAATAATAGACAAAACACTAAAAAAATAAAATAAAAAAAATCACATCTAATATATTAAGTCTCTATTTATATCAACTGCTCTCATTTTTTTCTTGGCTTATCCTCTGTCAAGGAGCCAGTAAATAAAAAATTATATATGAACACTTTTTATCTTCTTTTGTTAGGCCAAACAAGCCAAATTATTCTAATTTCTCTTTATCAGAAACACTTGCCATTCATCACCCTTAGCATTTATTTTCTACACATCTTCTGGGTTCATTTAAATTTATTTGAATCAGATCCTTACCCTACAGTACTGACATAGAATAGTCCCCTGCCATATTTTAGGACTGCCCTTCTCACAGCAGCTTTACCCTAAACGCTCATTTGTGTATGACCAAATTGTTTTGCAAGTGTTTCCCACCTCAGGTTATTTCTGTTACAAACCAGAGCTAATCAAACTGTTTGTTATTCACTTCAAAAGACTAAAACCTGGTACTGCTGCACTTGACTCCGTTTTTACAGGGTGATCTCCATGTACATGTCCTTCCTTTGCCACTGCAATCCCTCATGGGTTTTGGTATCAAAACATCCTACTGGTGCTACTTTTATTAATGAAAATCAACCGAGTCATTCTCCCTTCTCTTCAGGAGTACTATGTTCTCTCCTTCCCCAACAGCTTCTCACCATCTCATTTGCAAAGCTGCCTCTTCATTAATTTCATATTTCACTAATAAATGTAATCTACTAAATTATTTTTATCTGGGGAATCAACTACCTCTTAAAAGGGAATAATACTAATATTAAAATTTTTAGCCTCCCTTAAGCCTCAATAATATTTTAGTCTCAATTACAATGCCCTTGAAACAAATCAAGAAGTTTCTGAAAACCTGCATCTATCCACATTTCAGTATTTATTCCAAGCTATCACAAGATTCAGTAATCAGGTGTATGGAGTGTGCTCTAATTCTTCAAGGCACTGGTGGCTAACAGCAAGCTGGGTGAGAAAGCAGCATTTCCTCACCCATCATACCCTGAGTTATGTAACCCACCAGCTGCAGTGCACGCTCAGAGCATCAGCTCACAACCAAAACGACTCTGCTGACCTGAAAGAACACTTTGAACTTCTGCTGTATCTCCCCCATATGAACATGGGAGATCTAACCCACAACACACAGTAAAGCTATTAGTACGTATAGGAAATGAAATTAAAACATCCCAGAGACAGGAGACAGCAAGGACACTTGACACTTTCCTTTTGGTCCTCACCAACGAGCACGTGTGACCCACACTTGACTCTGTAGCTATTCCACAAAACAGGGATGTTTATTGTTCACCCACTGACGCTGCACTTTTAGAATGCAGCTATGAATGCTGCACTTGAAGTTTTCCAGGAATACAATTTGTCCTTGCACATTTGGCATTATGATTTTGGGAAAAGCAAGGATATTTTTCCAAAAGGCCCACTCTCAATGTGTGCCTGCTGAACTGTGGTTTTCCTCCCCCCCAGCACATGCTTAGCTCAGGAGTATTATGGAAATGAGGGCTTGTTTCCAAAATGGCATCCATCTGTTTTGCTCGGTTTTTTTAGCTCAGACATTTTAAAAAAAACAAACAAAACCCCAGCATAACAGCCCTCGGTGCTGGGATGGAGATGGTTTGCCAGCTGATAAGGTTAGGAAATGCTGCATGTTTGCACAGCACCTCACAAGTGGGGCTTTAAAAGTTCTACTGCAAAAAGATTGGTGATAAGCAAGTAAAACAGCAGAAGCTGAGTCCCAAAGAACTCCTAACTACCTGTGGTATGTTTACAAAAATGTGCAAAATTGGTTATTTTCTGTAAGTAATTTTAGAGGAATCCTCAACACAACTGGTCAGCCTGTCCACATGCACACACTTGTGTATTTATACATGGACCTGCAGGGGCCTTTCACAACGGGAAATTTAAACAAGAGACAATGAGAAACACTTCATTATTCCCATCTGGAATCACAGAATCGTTTGGGTTGGAAGGGGACCTTGAACACCATCTTGTTCCACTCCCCTGCATGGGCAGGGACACTTCCACTATCCCAGGTGGTTCCAAGCCCCATCCAACCTGGCCTTGGACACTTCCAGGGACGGGGCAGCCACAGCTTCTCTGGGCATCCTGTGCCAGGGTCTTCCCACTCTCACACTGTCGAACTTGCTAATATCTAACCTAAACACACTCTCTATTCATTTGAACCCATTACCCCCTTGTCCTGCCACTCCAGGCTCTTGTCCCCATCCTTCCTGTGAGTTCCCTTCAGGTACTAGAAGGCCTCAATTAGGTCACCCCCAAACACCCTCTTTTCTAGGCTGAATAATCCCAATTGTCTCCGAATCTCTCGGAAGAATCCCAATTCTTCTCAGGGTGAGGAACCACGCCCCCACTCAATCTCACTACGAACCAAACCCCAGCACAGCCAACACCGCAGCCGCCCCCCGGACCCGGACCCGAGCCGGCCGCAGGCCCCGGGGCGGAACACGGCGCTGCGCCACGACAGAGCCCCGCAAGCACGGGGAAGGGCCGAGCGGGAGGGGGCGGCGGGGCCGGCCCAGCCTCACGGCGGTACCTGGAGCGGGTGCGCCTTGCTGAGGTGCATGTTGAGGGCCGGGCTGTTGGGCAGCACCTTCCCGCAGCCGGGCACGGTGCACAGGATGTTGGTCCGCACTTGGGACAGCTCTGTCACCGAGGGCCGTACCAGCTCCCCGGCGGGCGGCACGTCCCTCACGGGCGCGGGGGGCCGCCCCAAGCCCCCGCCACGCCGCCCGGCCGCCGCCGCCATGTTGCTGTCAGCTGCTCGGCCCCCGCTCCGCTTCCGGGGGCGGCGGCCAATCGGCGGCGCTGCCGCTGAATATTCATGAGGCACGTGGCGCGGCCCCGCCCCCGCCCGCCAGCGCCCCGCGGCGGCGGCTGCGAGCGGTGCGGCCGAGCGCGGGCCCGCGCGCGCTCCCGCGGCACAAAGCGCGCGCACCGCGAGCACCGGGACACGCGGGGGAAGCGGCGAGTGCCGGCGTGGGCACGGCCCCCGGCCCCGCACAGCGCCCAGGGGGCTCCGCGGCTACCGTGCTGCACCGGGAAGGGGAGAGGCAGGCACTGACTTCCCTGCTGGTCAGTGACAGGACACGAGGGAATGGGCCAAGCTCTGGCGGGAGGTGGGGCTGGGTATTAGGAAAAGGTTCTTCACCCAGAGCTAGTCGGACATTGGAACGGACTCCCCCGGGAAATGGCCACAGCAGCAGCCTGACAGCACTCCAGGAGCATCTGGAAAACACTCTTAGTCACAGGTTGGGATTTGACTTGTGGGTCCCTTTCCAACTCAGAATATTCTATGATTTCCTGATATTGGAATCACCAACACAACACAGAGGTTTTTCCCCTATAGCTGATCAAGTTAAGGGAAGAGATGAACACCATTTATTGGTAAGAGTTATACCATAGGTGCAGCCCCAGGATGTGTGTTCCTCTTGTAGCCCCCGTGCTCTCAGCTGCAGGCATTTTGCTGCTTGGGGTTAGCACAGAATAGTTTGGGTTAAAAGAGATCTTTAAACATCATCTAGTCCAACCCCAAAATTCAAATTTGCTAGAAGAGACCAGCTGGAAGGGGGAAGACAAGATTGGTCTCCACATTCCCCCTTTGCCTTACCTTCTCCTCACCTCCTCCATGGGGACACCTGCTCAGCAAGAAGGAACCCCAGAGCTGCAGATGTTTCCTGACAAGTTAATAAATACACACCTCCTTGTCTGGAAATGCTGCACAGTTCCTGCAATATCCCTGCTTACAGAATGTTAGAGATAAAAACATCTCTGAAAATCAGAGATACCAAACAGGGGATGTTGAAAGGGGGATGGAGACGCTTTCCCAGAAACAAGAGGCAGTAGGCCAGGCACTCACAGTGTTCTAGAGCACTCGGGAACTTTATGGTAAATCACTGCCATCTCAGGCATTTAGGTTATTTGGGAGAGTGCATTATGAAGAACAAGTTGCACAGTGAAATGCATGCTGGAATCTTAATGGATCTGAATCCTGGAAGTATGGTGACATGTTAAGAGCCAGCTCTTAACGTCTATCACACCAAACCTAGAATTCTTCCAGAATCTTAACATTATGTTAAGTATTTTGTCAAATCAACGTTTAAATCACACAGGTGGAATTCCTATCCATATCACTAGCAGATAGTCCGAAATCTCTTTTCATGTGTGAGTTAAAGAAGTGCTGAAAACCAAACCAAAAAACAGTATATGGTAAGTAATGTTTTCAAGTCAGGCCAAACAACCTTTTATGCAAAGACTTAATTTACACATTTATTTACAGTCCAAGAAACATGCCCATACAACCTTTGGAAGTAGGGCTGCTTCTGCACACTGAGATATTGAAAGTATATGGGAATTCTACATACATAAAGTACACACAAAACAATCCAGATAACAGAATTTAAAAAAACCCAAACATCTAGTACATTTTAAATGAATCTTCAGATCAAATCAATCTCAAAAAACAAAGCAGGAAACATCTATACAATTACCTGTGTTTACAAACTAAAAAAAGAACTCCAATGCAAAGCTGTTTGCATTAGTGACTGCTGCAATGTTGATTACACAGTCTTTGTCCCAGGCAAAAAAAGCAGTGGCAATGGGCAAGGATTTCAGAAGGATCAAATACTGAGATATTCTAAAATTTGTACATTCCTCAAAAGTATATTCCTCAGTATATTCTTCCAACAAAAAATTTCATAAAGCATTAATAGCAACAGGCAGATTTTCAAGTATTTGTTACTGGCTGTTGCCCTTAGTGAGAAAGACTTTGGAAGCTGAATGAATACCTCCTAAAGCTGGATGGAAGCTTCTCACTGACATGCATATTCCAAAAGTCCATTCTCCCCCATGCCCTGAAATAGTCTTAGAATTCAATTCACCTACTTAGATAAAAACAAGCCTGAGCTGCAGCCAGGGAGCCCCACCCATTTGGATGGGACTGTTCCCCCTCTTCAGGGCAAGTGTTCTGTCCAAAATGTGAAAGGCCACCTGGAGTATTGTAGCCACCTACAGCTATGACAGCAAACTGAACATCTACAGCTATTATTGTGCCTTTATTAACTTCACAAATATTATCAAAACTATAGTTAAGAGCAATTGTCACATTTAAAGTTAAAATAACCATAGTCTCTGTTTAAACTTAGCAACTAACTTTTTTAATTAGTTAAAGCTAACTTCTGTTAAAGACAACTATGGAAAAATAATTAATGAGCATAATTTGGAAAAAACTTTAAGGTATTAACAAAGAATAAGCTAGTTTTAAAAGATTATGATGATTTAGATTAATACCAGTAATAAATAAGTTGCATATTTCTCTATGAATCAGCTTTAAATTAAGGGCTTACAAAACTTTCTGGAAATAAACTTTTTTTCTCTCTAATTTTAAAATAATTCCTAGCTTTATGTGGTATGCATGTAAGGAGTGGTGACAGTGGTGCATCAGCCATACCTGAGGAGAGAGAGAGAGAGAGAGAGAGACACTGATAATTGCAGCTGTACTCAACTATTATTTACCTTTCATAACTGTTAGCAAAACTGAAACACAAAACAAAATGCAAGATACAAGCAGAATATAAGATAAAAATATTTTAAACTCTGGATTTTCCCTCCATTTTACAGAGTTGGAACACTTACCTGCTGGTGCCAAGGATTTCAGTGATTCTAAAAGATGTGGACTAGAAAACTTGACCAAACATCTGAATGGTTCTTTTTTATCCAAAACATCCATTTTAGGATCACTTTTAAACATCGTCTCAAGCTGTTAACACAAAATTTAACCAGTGAGTATAATCAATGAATATATTTTATTTATATGTTATACCATATTACATTTAAAGGTTTAAATAAGACTGTTTCCAATTGGTAATGATAACATGATTCCAGCTGGAGGAATGTTGTAGCAAAATCTGAGGGTGCCACCGTGTGGCAGAGTTTTCTGCTGAAAGCAAGAGGCAGCTTGTTCAGTAATACTGTAAAACATTAAGTATTTCTTAGAATTTTCAATTTATCTGTTCATGCAATAAAATCTGTGCATCATTGAGAAGTCGGTTATGGTGTCGTACACAGCATAAGATTTGCATGTATTTAAAATAATCTTAATTTCTCATGTTCCAATGCACTACTAGTCTAAGTCTAGTCTTTATTACAAAAACAGGTTGAAATGCTGAGTTCACACGGCTGAAAGACTGAAACATGATCTAAAACTATGACCAAATTTCAATCTTTTAACTCATTTATTTTAAAATGTCCTCCCTGAAATTTAAAAAGCCCCATAATATTTCTTAAATTTGAAATTTAATCTAACAATCACTACATTAAAATTAGAAAACCCCAAATAAAGTTGGTTGCTTTTCCTACCCTGTATTGTGCAAATTCGAGTTTTGGTTGTGGACCACTACCAAAACCTTCCTGGTTCAGTCTGTGGATTCTTTCTGTCTGACTTCTGTTTTCATGGACTATTCCTATATCTGCTGCAGGGGAAAAGAGCAGGGAAAAGAAAACAGAAAGATAACGTTGTCAGCTGCTTTAATACTGTTTTTCTGATCAGATGATTCCAACGAAAATTAATAAATCATAGTTTTAATGAATCCATTGCACTCTTTTTTTTTGGATAAGGTAGTACCAAGAGAAAAACACAAGCTAATGTGAGATGCTGGGTGGAAATACTGACCTCTCCCAGTGCCAGCCAGTACTAAGGCACCAGGGATGGACAACATAATGGGAATGGAGCATATGTACATTTCCTTTTATCAATCTCTTTTCACAAGTCAGCAGGAGAAACGTTAATAAACTGTCTTTCCATTTCAAACATACATACCATTTTCTGGTTCTACATTCCCTCCTCGCAGAGGTTTTGGAGTGTAAGTTTGGAAGTTCTAAATGGAGAGAGAGAGAGAGGAAAAAATATTTTAGTTCAGTTCCACTTTTAGAATGTCTAGCTGAAAAATACTTTAATATATTATACTTTAATATATTTCCTTTTATTTCTCATTCTGGAAGAATGATCTTCCTAATTTTGACTCTTACTAGAAGTCTGGAAGCCAACCTAATTTTGAAAAAAACCGCCTGTCTTAGGATATTTGTGAACATTTCCCTATTACAAGTTTTGCACGGATGAGCAGACTAAGCACCCATTCCAACAGCCTTCAACTCATGGCTCAAGGAAGCTTAACGAAAGGATGCTAAAAAAAGCTTAGGGCTGAATTATTCATGTAATTTTTAGTCTGAGTTTAGCCATCAGGAATTATAATAATAAAAAGTACATGGGATACCAAATAATTACATCCCCATTGCAATGTTACCTTCATGAAAGGCTGTCGACCTCAGTAGTTCAATATTATTTTAACTTGATGTTCTCTTGGAAAAGGTGAATTTTCCCCCTTGCTAGGGGGTGAGAACTAGGCCTGAAACAAAAAGCAAGACTTATCTTAGGATTTACTTGTGAAGTGGCTCACCTGGCTATATCTTTTAAACACAATATCTTTAAGGGAGTTTAAAGAATGACTTCGAAGCTCCATTTCACGGATGTCATGGTAATTGGAGGCAACAATCAGGGCCTTTAAATAAAAATTGAAATTGTTTTAACATCAGTCTTAATCATCACTGTGTTTGTAATATGTAAAAAACATAGCATGTCTAGACATTGTGATGTTTTTGTGTCAAGGTAAGCAACTGCCCTTTAACTAGGATTTTCATATCTGAAAAAATGTTGCAGAGATTGTTACACAGCTAAGGTTAATATTTAAAAGCATTCACAGTATTAACAAGCTAAGTGCTATAGTCTTATCAGCTGAAAAATAAACAAACAGAATCATAAAATAATTTAATTACTACTACAGAAATTTGAGGAAATTTTTAGAGGAAAAAATACTACCAAAGCTGATCACAGAAATGAACAGTATTCCCTGATGAGCTCATATGCTTAGTTCTTGAAGTTTACAGTTTGATCTAATATTCTTCAACTTCTTGAAGAGACAATTTAATGGAATACTGCCCAAGACTTGGTTAAGAAATTAAATTTCGGGGCAGTAAAAATCCCAATAAGCTGAATTTATTCACAGTGCACCAATCCAAAGATTTGGGGTTTGCCCCATTTTTATCATGAGCTAAGGAGAAAAAAACCCCCAAAATATATAGTTTAGCAAATAAAAGTGTCTTTACCAATCCTCTTCAAAGCTAACCCAATGACAGCTCTACATGACTGTGGGGAAGTCAGGGTCTGAGCAGTTTTATTCTGTACCTGACACAGCAGAGGCATGTTGCTCTTCAGCACTGAGGCAGAAATGAAGGCATAGGGAGTCTGTGAATGGTACACAACATAGCTGGGCTTGTACTGGTTTGGTTTTTTATATGGTGTTCCCCAGGCAATTCTAATCCAGATTTCATTATCCTCATATTCCTTAAAGGTGATGGTGACCTGATAGAAAAAGTAAAATTTTGATTTACCAACACATTTAGGTATGCATAAAGTCTTTTTTCTCTTGTTCACAAGACCCAAACAATTTAGTACCCTTGCTTGAATAAAAAAACCCCAAAACATTAAGTGTCATAAGGATTATATTTAAATAAAATTTCCACAGAAAAACAATAACTTCACGAACTGGGATAAAAAGAAGAATCACCTTTCAAACTCTAATATTGCTTCTCTTCCTGTCAATACACATTTTTTCCTGAAGGTTGAAAATAGAAAATAGCTTATTACAAAAGCTCTGATCTCTCTTTTGGGAAAACAACACAAAGATGTTTGTTTAAAAGGAGGGCTAGTAGCAATAATTCCAGTATGTCCATTTTTGGAGAAACTAAACTTTTTATCAACGTGTGATTTTAGACCTGAATATTTATCACTGCACAAGAATACACAAATCAAAAGTCTGAACATTCCCTTTTCTATTCTTTTTGATTTGCTTCTTGTTTACTTCTTTTTAACTTGACTCAAGTAGGTAGACTTAAAAAACAACAAAACCCCCAAAATACTGCAAACCTTTATTATAAGAGAGTGATGTGAACTGCAGCTGATTGGCTGAGTGTGATTTGGATTTGTTGCCCTCTCCTGTTGTGAGTGGGAACCCCCTGGGTGTCACAGAGTGACACATGTGATCAGCCAGAGGCATTTTCTATTCCCTTGCCCAAATGAAGCTGTTGAGCTAAAGCAACTAAAGGCTCCTGCAAATCGGGCAAAGATTTCATAAAAAACCACCAACATGCTGCCTTTCTTGAAGCCAGTCACATTTTAAGACAAACTTACATTTTGTTTCCTTCCAGCATAATTGTGAAGTTGCTAAAAGATATGCAATACATTTTTCCTATTTCACATGCAGTTCCTATCATTCCCAAATGAACAATTCCATTCAATTCTTGACTCAAACTGTAAGGAACAATTATGAAAACAACATATTGACACCAGAGCCGTGAAGCAAATTTAGAATGGATTTATTCTTACATTTTTCAAGGCTGACCGAAGTCTTCCTTTAAACTTTTTTTTGAAATCTCCTATGTCAAAATATTCCACTTCTTCTCCTGTTACATAAGACAAAAAAACCCAGCCAGAAATAAAATTTGTGGGTAGAAAAAGTAGTTTAGAGATGTTTTTAGTTTTGCTGAAACAAAACTAAGCAGAAAAAACTGAAGCTGCATAACCTTAAACAAAAAGATGTGTTTTAATTCTGAGACATATTATTGCTATACAGAGAAAAGATTAATATTTAATTAGTAGTTACAAATGTGTAATAATTGCTTGAGAAGTTAATGTTTTTAAAAACATAAAAGATAATCTCCATTGAAAAATCCATACTAGGCTGCAGTAAAACGTTAAAAATCTCTCCACAGAAAAAAACCAGATGAGACTACATTTGTGGTTAAAATGTAGGATATGAGGCAGCACAGTATTAAGTTGCTGAGAACTGTGGAATTACAGCAATAAAAGATATTTTACCTGATTTTTTCATCTGGTAAACACTCCACATTCTTTTGTTTTGGTAGACATGGTTGTCTAAGAAAAATAGGAATTGCAATAATAACATAATGTATTATCAACCAGGAATTAAAGAATAAAGAATTTCACAATACTTTTATAGACAGTTTACTTAAAAAAGTATTACTTCTGAAATGCAATATAATGTATTAACATTCTTAAACTAACACTCATAGCAACCACAAGAGCAAAATGTTTTTTTTTTTTAATTAAAAGGGATATAAAGTTCTTTTGTAATTTGGTGAGCAGCTAATAAAGGGCATCTCTGGGGTTTAATGTTTAAGGAAGGGTTGTACCTAAACTGCCCAATGTAAGACATGCAGACTGTTAGAACAAACCTTGAGATTTAAACTATTGTCTCATCAAGTTGTGAATTGACATTGGAGTTCGGAGTTAAATACTTTTGTTGATCTCCAGCTTTTTGTAAAAGAGGGCACATCCAATAAGATTCATCTAAAATGTGATGTGCTTACCCCAAATGCATCTGCACCTCACAAAGGTCATCATTATGTAATTAGGGGCATTATGAACTTACTTAGTAGAAATAAATACAATTTTAATTCACTTTTTACTTACAAATTATGTCTAGAACTGCTGCTTGCTTTATGTCTGCAGAATTTTCCTAGAAAGAACAAGAGTGCATGGTGAACTACAGGTCCAGAATGCCCGACCCACAGTTTATCAAGTGAAAAATAATCTCAGGATGGGCAGTTTAAAGGACATGGCATTGAAGCACACAGCATGTACACTCTCTTCAAAGGCACTACACCTGGTCCCAGGTTTTGAGAAATCAATAACAAAAACTATTTCAGCAAGGTTTAAATGTTCCTCTGCAGAGGCAGCAAGAGGAACATCAGTTCTTACAGTGTGATGTACAAAGAATTAGAAAGAAAGTTACTGAGTATTTCTGACAATGCAACAGTATTTCACTGTTCACTGTTTCAATTAGTATTTCACTATCAGGAGTTTTAACGTATTGGTTATTGTTTATTTATGCTCCACAGAATGAAAAGATTTTTAAGAAACTGCTTGACACAATTTGTTACAGGTACAAGTATTTCAGAAAAAATTTCTATTTTAGAATATGGAATTTGCTATCTTATGAGAACAACTTAAAATTTCTTTCCTTTAGTTTGATCTGCACTCCAGGTAAGCAATTTTTGAGTATGAAATTCAAAGGGAATCATAACAAAAGCTACAGAATTCAAGATGTATCAGTAATAACTGCATCTATCTAGCTTATGGTATTAAAGCCCTCTGGCACATACAAAGACCCTGGTACACTAAAATAAGAGTTAGATAATATATTTTTTTTTGCTTACAGCATGCTGAATGGAAGTAATTCTGTCCAAGGAAAATTAAAAATACGTAAAACATTAAAAGTCTAAAAGATACAAACTAGTGCTATCATTACCCATAGTAAATAGCTTTAAACCAGGATTTTGTAATGAGTAGACATCTCAATCAATGCATTTATTTTACAATTTAGAAATACACACATTTTTTAAAAGTTTAACATAATGAGCTTTTATCTACCACATGTAACTTAGAGCTCAAAACATACTTAGTATAGGTCTGTTCCACACAGATCCTATAGATCAGACAAAATCAATGGTGTTACCAGCTCAGCTTTACATTTTTCAGACTACAAAGTACCACTTGAGGCTGTGTTGTGGCCAAAGATGAATGTTTCAGGTTTTTTTCATGATGCTTCTCTTGCATCTTATACATCACTGACATATTTTGAAGGAGAGGATTTACCTCACAGAGTTGAACAACTTCTTGAGAAATGTTGTCCTTTAGCTGGTGGAAATTTAGAGTCTGCAGCTGTGCCTCAGAGAGAAAGCCCCATTTCTGCAGCATCATTTTGATTTCATCCCTTGGGATTTTTAGCACAGTCCTTCGGATATATTCAGCCACATTTTCATCCATGATGGAACCACCTGGCAAGCTGAAAGGTTAAAGAAAGTAAGACCAAGCCACAGGCAGGTTCAGGGGATTTGCTCCCGTCGAAGTTGTATAGAGCTGCACTTCGGCACTAACATTGATGTCAGTCCTAAGTGCGGCACTACTACAGATTTTGACAGCAGTAAGTTAAAATACACACAATAACTTACACAGACACTGAATCATAGAACATCCCGAGTTGGAAAGGATCCACAAGATCAGAGTCCAACTCCCAGCCCTGTGCAGGACACCCCAGGAATTCCACCAGGTGTGTCTTCCAAACACTTCTTGAGCTCTGTCAGGCTTGGTGTCTGTGACCACTGTCCTGGGGAGCCTGCTCCAGTGCCCAACCCCTCACTGGATGAAAAACCTTTTCCTGATATCCATTCCAAACCTCTCTTGGCATAACTTCATGCCATTCCCTGGAATCCTGTCTCCGCTCATGAGAGATCATTGCCTGCCCCTCCATTTCCCCTCACGGCGATGAGTTCCCCCCTCAGTCTCCTTCAAGCTGAACAGACCAACTCACGTCACGCCCTCAGGAGTTTCCCTTACTGACCGAGGCCTGGTGCGAGCAGAGGGACGGGGCGCTGGGTGATGCCCAGGGCTGTGGCTGTGGTTGTTGCTGTCTGTCCGCTGCGATGAGTGTCCGAAGCCCTCGGACAGCGAGCAGGGGCGCGCAGAAGCCCGTGACCGACCCGACCGGACCGGACCGGGCCTGACCTAACCCAACCCGGCCCGGCCGCTCACCCCGCTCCCGTCGCTCCCGCGCCCGCCTTTCGAACCGACCAATCAGACCCTGCGCCGTGCCCCGTCCATCCAATCACAGGGCTCCCCGCCCGCCCGCTCCAGCGCCGGCGCTGTGCGCGCTCTTCGCTCTGAGGCGGCTTCCGGCCAGGGCTGGCAGAGTCAGTGCGCCCGCCCCGCTCCGGGGTGAGTGAGGGGCGGCCTCGGGCAGAGCCAGCGGGAAAGGGAAAAATTCAGGGAAAAGAGGGTGTATAGGGGGGAAACCCTGCCCCTCTCCTACTGCCTTCCCTTCTAACCGCCTGGCTTTGGGGAGGGCCGTGGCGAGCCGAGCTCGGGTCCACCTGGGACTCTCCGCTCACTGCGCAACGTCCTCCGGAGCTGCCGGAGGGCTTTGGAAGGGCAGGTGTGAGCGGGATCGCGGGTCTCTCCGTTGTGGCTGCCGTAAGCTGCTTTTCATGTCTGTGTGTGTCCCGTCGCCTCTTCAAGGCCCCAGGGAGCGGTGAGGAGCCGCGGGCAGCGGGGGCTGGTTCCGTGGGAGCCCCGTGCCTTAACCGGGTAACAGCAGCAGCTGCCCCCGCCCCTCGCAGCCCGTGACGGAACTGTGGTACTAAACAATTTTTACTTTCCGCTGAGTGCTGCCTGCCTTTCGTCACGGGGTCGGGCTGCTAGAGGGGTCAGAGCCTATCTTCAACGAGGAAATGTATCCTCTAGCTCCCTTTCTCTCTGAAGGGGAAAAGCTGTTTTAGAGTACGCAAGAAGATTCTGATAGGTTCGTGGAGTTCTTCTTTGGGAAATTAATGGAGTTGAGATGAGATGGAATAAAGCCTGGTCTGGTGGATGCAGCTGAACTACAAGAGCAGCTGGTAAAGCAGGAATTTGGTGACAGCACCTTGTCCTGATGTAGAGTGAGTTGGGTTGGAAGGGACCTCAAAGATTTTCTTGTTCCAAGCCCCTGCCATAGGCAGGGACACCTTCCACTAGGCAGTGCTTTAGTTTTATGCTGTCTGGATCTTGTCATTCTTAACTGTATATTCTGCAAAGCCGTAACAGGAATAGGAAGAGACAGCTTTAGTAATCTATGATACAGTGTTATACAGTGTTGTCCCGTGCAGTGCTACTGGCTGTATGTTATAATAAAAATACCCCACTAATCCTGCCAAAACTCTGCTGATGTTTCTTGTATGAATATGACCTTAATTGCCAGGAAGTGAAAATATCTTCTATTGCTTTACTCGATCATCTATTTCAACCTTAAATAAAATTGTAGAAATCAGTATTCAAGTTGGTGTTCCACCTGCTCTATTCCTTAGGATTAACACCTTCTTAATTTGTTTTCCTAAGTATGAAATTAGGTATGATGTAGTTTCATCAGGTACTAAAAGCAAGTGAGCTCATTCTGTGAGGGAGGTTGAATTGTTGGCAGAAAGTGGTCATGTAAAAAGAAAATCAATATGAATCTTATTTATCAGCATAAAAAAATATTATTCTTTAGATTCAGGGAAAGTAAGTGCATTCTGCATTATTAAAAAGATCTCGAAGGAGACATAATTGACTGTTTTCCCATTTATTTTCTAGTCTTCCTAGATACATTTCTAAACTATTTCCCCCCATTCTAATAAGTAATATTGGAAAACCAGTGCATAGTTTTAGAGACTGAATTTTAAGAGTGAGTTTTGTAAGATTTAGCTAAGCTTGGTTTATTAAAGTGGATTTTTAAATTTCTTGGAGATGCTGGAAAGTTTGGGGTCATTCTCAATGTACCTAATCATAGCCTTAAGGACAGCAGCATAGAGTGATCCTTTAATATCCTGGTCTGGAAGTTGTTAATGATATTACTGAAAGGTAGAAACTAAGTCCTGAGTTCCCTTGGGTTTTGGAATGGTTTGCATCAACTGTGATTTCTCATTTCACTCATTTCTCATTTCACTGAGTATTCAAGGCTATTATCAAAATTCTTTGTGTAGTAAAGAACGCTGGGAATGCAGGAGTTCTGCTGAAGTGGCACGGATGATACCTTGAGAAAAACACCAGCCTGTTGGGTGTGGAGATGAATATTTTATGCTAAAATTTTGTGCAATCTTAGAGGAAACAGGATTTGAGTAAACCAAAAATTGTTGAGATTGTAAATACTTTTTTCCAAACACCAAACAGAACAATACCGTGCGACTGAGGATGCGAAACTCCTAAAGTTTTATATTACTCAAGTTAGACAGTGACATTAACTGCAAAAAGAAATGTTAAGCGTGGACAGTAGAGTGGCTTCGGAGGAATGGCGGGTTTGTTGCCATCCCTGCTGTGAATCCCTGGTGTGGTTTGCACGGTCCTGCTGCCGCCTTGTGGGCGTCGTTTGAGTGTTTGCAGCAAATGTTTGTGTTCTGTGTTCCTGTTCGAGAGCTTCATCATTAACAGTGAACGTGCTCAGGTGTAGTTTTTCATCAGCAGGGTAACTTAACAAGGATTTGCATTTTTGCTTTAAGAGGTCATTTTTTCTGAACAGTGTGTGAATTCATGTGGTTTGGGATTTTTTTTCCCATTAGCCTTAGAAAGTTGAAAAAAATATGGTAGTGTTCTTTTCAAATGGAAAAAATAGTAAAACTCGGTATAAAAAGTAGTCTTCTAACATGTTTTAATTAAATATGGCAAAAGCATCTTATGGAAACAATTACCTAGATCTAAACGTTCCCTTCAATGTTGTCCCTCAAGCATGGAAAGATTAAGCATCAGGCTGATCAGAAAAACGAAAGGAACCTAATCCAGTTTTCCTTCTGCATCAGGGAACTGGTTAGTTCATATTTATGGGAGATCCTGAGAAAAGAAAGGAACTTCTCTGGGTTCCTGACATGCTGACCCCATAGTTGATTTTGAGAAGTGAAAATGCATCAAATGCTTTGTTTCTCCACACAGGATGTGTGATGAAGTCAGGAGGAGAAATTGGAACATGGACAGAAATGAGCATTTTATCCTAAATTTTGGTGTCAAACATGAAATGCTCACAGTGTTCTTCCGTGCTCTTTTGGGTCAGCCTTTGGTTTCTGTCTGCAGTTTTATTTGAGTTCTGTAATGCATGTAGCAATTGCAATTAAAATGAAATATTTAATGTATTGAACACATAGATCAATTTTCAGATTAGGGATGAGTATCACATCTTGATAATTTATATGTTGATTGCTGTTAGAAAGTTTGACATGCTTAGTGTCCCAAGATTGCTTAGGAATTACCTTATTATTTTTCTAAGCAGAAATGTTAGTATTGGAAGTTCAGTATCATTATCAGAAATTTTCCAGCTTTTGGCTTTTGATTTTTTAGAAAAAATCTGGTTTATGTTGGAAACCATACAGCTAGAATATCCTATGTTTTCCCTACTTAAGGAGAAACCAGACAGGATGTGAAACTGGAATGAGACAATTTCTTAATTATTTTTTCCCAGAAGAATAGCATAGATCTAGAAACTGGTTTAGGGAGTTGAAAGATTAATTATCTTTATCCATGTCTTCTACATTCAGAGACTATAAGTTGATAGAAATTTGTATTTTTAAGGTATTTTAACAAATCATTGAGATAGCTATGTAATGTAATTTGTATCAAGAAAGAAAAAAATTGCACTGAATCTCATATCAAACACATTAAAGGGCAGAATATTTCTGTGCAAACCAGTAAAATGTCAGTGCCATTATGTAAAGAGATAATTTCTTTACTTCGCTCCAAATATTCACTTCAGATATTAACATTTGCTTAGCATTTTGCAGTTCTGAAGCAATTCCTGTATTTTCTAAATATTGTTCTTTTACTTCACTTCCAGTTTTTCTTGTACAGAAATTGTATGTTTGTCTTGGCTTTCTTTACCCCACATTTCTGTTAGTAGTTTCCTCAGAGCAATTTATATTGCTTATTCACGATTTTTTCCTGTGATTTCTTTGTTTTGTTTTGTTTTCCCAGTATTCTTTTATATATCAATTCCCTATGAGCTAGCACCTGTATAAATTACTGTCCATTTGGACTTAGATTCTGGTAAGATGGCAACTTGCAATTCTTATTTTTCATTAGAATGTTATTAGAAAGAAACTAAGGAAACCAACATCCTTTCTTCACACACATTGTTGTTTCTCTTGAAACTCTTTTGTTTGTCAGAGTTATTCCCCTTCAGCAAAAAGATTTCAGCCTTCCCTGCTCATTTATAGACCACTTTGTAATCTGACATTTCAAAACATCAGTTTAATATTGAGCACTGGGAACACTGCTCTGTCCTAACTTCAGAAGTGCTTAAAGCCTCCAGGGAAGCACAAAAATATATTTTGTTACTTAGTCCATCACATCCTACAGGAACTGAGTGCTACAACTTGAAACTTTCTAATATTGAATGTTAAAAATTTCAGTACTGATCTATGAAGTAGAAGGCTTTTAACTAATGAAGTGCACCCTCACCCCTGTTTGTGGCATTGGTGGCTTTCAAGCACGGCCTGAGAATACCTTTGTAAACAAAATAAGAATAATACTCTTATTTTAGCAATAACGAATCTTTCCTTGAAATGCTCCATTTGACTTCCTGGCTTGTGCTGATGTGCATTCCCTGTTTCATTTAATTTCTTTCATTCATTTTTGTGCATTCCCTCTTTCATTAGGACACTGCTCTTTCTCCTGAGACTGCCAGCTCAGATGACAGTTTTAGGAAGTGCAGGCAGAGGCTGAATGATGAAGAGCTTTAATAATCATCTGGGTTCACACATGTTAAAGTAACACACAGTCATTGAGCAGGTCACTCTCTCGGGGGAATGCTAACTCCAGAGCTATCAAAAAAGCTCTACTGATAAATTCAAAACATATTGACTTTGTGTGGCATGCAATCAAAAGCTGGTGGCAATAACACAGCAGGGTTCTTAATCACTTTGCTGTTACAGTTGTGCTCCTGCTGTCATATTTCTAAAGGTTCATTTGTTAATTTGTTGAAAAGAATGCTTAAGCAACTTGTACAGTTTCCAACAACTTCTGTGCTAAGAGTAACTGTAGTGTAATATTAGACTTCCAGATAATATGGGGGAATGTTTTTGGAAGAAATCACTACAACACTATGTGAAACATATTCTCACGGTTCTCAAGTGGCTTTTAAATGTTTGGTTTTTAAAAATTAAGTTTGCTTGTGGGAATCTAACTCTTGTTAAGCTGAACACATGGTGAGAAGTACTGGATATATGAGTGTATGTGGCTCTTTAAGCCGAATATATTCCTTGAGCATTCTAGGAATAGCAGTGGAGATTGTAACTGTCAGCACTGCAGCTGAAATTCGGGATTTTGCAATTGTAAAATCTGACCATTGGTTTCTTATATTTGTCCAGTCTGTCTAGCAGGAGTGTTAAGACAGTGATGGCTCCTTAGCACAAGTTGTAGTGCTGTTTGCCTGATGTATTGCAACTGGAAAGGGGATCCATTTGGGAGAAGGGGACATGACAAAATACTGAGTAAACAAACAAACAGGCATCTCTCTAATTCAGTGGCAGTATGGGCCATAAAAATAATATTTTACCAAGATGAGCCCATTTGTCCTGGTATGAACTGAACTTTTCTCCTCCCCTTCCTGGTGATCTTCCTGAGCAAAGATGTCATCTTCTTTCAGCCACTGTTATATGATGCTTTCAGTCCATTTCAACTAAAGAACTCCCTCCCCACAGAACCCTGCAGGAAAGGGTGTTCCCCTTTAGTTTTCCAGAGAGAAAACATGAGGAAAACCTAAGTGCTTCCTTCTGAAGCTGATGGAGTGGGAGATTCATGTAGAAGACCAATGCCATTGCTTTTCAAAGGAGCACAGTGAAAGAGCAAGAGGCAACAATATGGAGTTGCAAGATGGAACATTTCAATTCTTAGTGATTTAAAAAAAGGATCATTACTGTTTTGATGAAGTGATTAAGAACTAGTTTTAAAGCATCACCAATGTCTGGTTTAGAATTTTTTTAAAAGTATGTAGATAGCTAAAAAAAAGATGCTGGTTCTCTGAGTGCTGTAATGGAATAGCATTGTGCTTCCTGTTGTAATCTTTGAAAAAGATAGAAAATCATATACACTTAACTTTTTAAAGCAAAAAAATTGAAGTAGGAAAGTGAAAAGTTAATCTGGAGTTCAAGAAAGATTAATGCTGCTAGAGAGCCCCTGAAAATGAAAATCTCAGCTGCTTGCTTATGTCTGTGATAGCCAAGATTATAAACTTTCAGTTGACTGTTAACATTTGGGTTGTGTAGAGGATCAGGCTTGTGCTGGGTTTAATGACTGTAACTGTGTAATGTACATTATATGCATTAAACTGCATTTTGGTCTCCAATATTGTTAAAATAACACTGTGATAATATCTTACATGTTAAATCAGACTTGCTAGTGACACTGTTTTAATGTTGGCAGGTGGAAGTTTTCTCAGATTCTTGTCCTTATGCTACTAAAATCCTCCCTAACTAAAGATGCATCCAGACCTGTCTCCTCATCTGCACACTGAAGAGTGTAACCTAATTATCAGTCTGCTCAAGCAGTGTCACAAGGAGGTAAGAAGTGTTGAGCAGAGAAAAGAGTGGGTGGGTTGGGGAAATGAGTGTCAGATAAATTAGTGATGATATTTTATGATCATGGAGAGAAAACCCTCCTCTAGGCAGAACAGCCATGAAATATAGCTGGTGTGTTTTCATTGAAAAGCTGTCTGATGACTGTGAAATAATTCCAGTGATTTATTTAGGAAATACAACATACTTTAAAATTTTCTGTGCTACAGCTTAACACTTAAGGACGTATTTTAAGGACTGAAATAACTTCTGCACCTCTTACTGTACTGTCTTCCCCTCAAAAAACAATAATAAAATCAGCTTCAAATGCCCTCTTTTTGTATGCTCATGGCATTTCCATGTTCCAGCTGTCCCTGGGGCAGATGCTTCAGTGTGGTTATAAGCAGATGTGTTGATGGGGATCCTAACAGCCACATGCCTGATGTTCAGTGCTTGGAGAGCTAATTGAGAATTACTGCTTGACTTCCATCTTCTTAATAGGCACCTACTTAAGCATGGAAATGCTAAATTGTCTTCAGGCTTCTCCAGGCTCTTCATTGCTTCAAGATTATGGAATCGTTATCTCACTTGTTTAAAAGCCTTTTTAAAAGTTTGCTTTGTCTACATCTTCTGCATCTCTAGATGTACAAGATTTGGCCCCTGCATTGAAAGCTTTCTGCAGCATCATTGCAATGTTGTTAATTGTTTTCCTGGTATATTCTGAATAGATGTTCTGCAGAGATGATCTTGCTGTATTAGTGCATAAAAAAGTTAAATTTCTTAGTTTCTACTGGGATAAAAATATATTTAAATACTCACTATGAATGTGAAAACTCTGATTTACACCACTGCATGCAATCTACAATATTTTCATCTCCATGGTCAGTTGTGATGTTGGTGCTTTTTTCTAGTGCAGTTAGATTCTAAGACAATACAAATGTTAGCTTTATTGTTTTGAACAGAATTGTAAACTTTTAATTTCAAAAGCTGTTACAGGATGAGAAACAAGGCTGATAATTCACAAAATGTGAGAGAAGACATTTTATCTGAAAGAGGGGTAACAGTATTTTTGCAAGATTTTAATGTAGCTAAAGTAACTTATTAAAAAACATTTTCAGCACCACACTTTATGATTTCTAAATTATGGCAATGAAGGGAGAAGAAGTTCTAATACTAAAATTCATTTGCAGGGAGTATATTGTAGTGGTTTTCTTCAGCAACATGTAATTTGTTTTTGTTGGCACTTGGAGTGCAGTATCTTGAAACATAAGCACCCTGCAGTCTGTTGATACCATCTCATAGGTGGTACTTCCCATTTCACTGCTCCTGTACACGACATCTCCAATCTTTAAAATTAAAAGTTGAATTAAATGTAGGAGTTATGCTTTTCTTCCAAGGTCAGAAATCATAATTTGCCTAAAAATGCTTTAGGTAGTTTGAGAGATTGTGGAAACTTTTTTAGTTGATTTTTTAACAACTTTAATGTTGTAATGTATTAATTTACTAATTGCAAGTAATGAATGGTTGACTGACTTTTTGTTTGTGGTTTGATTTTTTTTTTTTTTTTTAAATTTTTTATTTTTTTGCTTTAAATGAATGTCAAGATAGAAGTATCATGGACTTGTCTGAATTAGACTGCCTTGAGAACTGGAACTAAAAAGGTGCACTTGAACTCCTTGGCAGCAAGTGATTCAAAGGAATCTATTGTCAATCTGACTTATGAAGTGACTGGGAGCAGCAATAATAGTCATGCACAGAATTATGTTCTCTTGGTTTTGTTTGAAGTTGATCTTTACATGAAGAGGAATTACTTTGGTCAGTCTTATGCTCAGCTGGGAGAGGATGCTTGTGTTGGCAGTCTCAGAACAGAGAGGATGAGGATGATTTTTTTCACACTCAGTTGAAAGGGAGCAATACTTTTTCATTGAGATTCAAGGGGAATGTGCTGAAATATTTTTAAATTGAACTCACTGAAATCTGGCTAGTGATCTTAATGAGTTATTAGTGACTACTTGCTGTTTTCTTATAATGCCTAAGAGCCCTCGTCTACAGTTGTAAGAACCTTCATCTACAGTTTGAATCACCATTCCTGAAGGATGGAAAGCATTTTGGGTGTCCATTTTCACAACAGTAAATTTGATTTACTTTATCCCTAATCTAGAACCTGCCCTCTATATCAAGTTTTGGATCTAGTGAGGAGAGGTTAATGGGATTCCTGTTTGATGTCACTTTTTTTTTTAATAACTCCACTGTGGTGCCAAGTATGTGCTATAAATAGACAAATTTTCATAGGTGGCAGCTCAAATAAATGTGTACTGTCTTGCAGTTGTATCACTGCAATAGGTGTGGTAGCTATTTTTGAGAAACTGATTCTTTGTTTCCCTTATAATCTCAGCCAAGAAGTTGACATTTTAGGAATCTGGCTAAATAAACATAGATTAAACCCACAGTGTGCACTACTCAGAGTGGAGGTAGCTTGAGTGTTCACCTTAAAATTTAACATGCAGGTATGCAAGTAGAATACAAAACTAAATCTCTATCAGCTGAAATGAAAATGTTGTAAAAGCAAGATCAGTGTGCAGTAAAGTGACCACTTACTCCATGCAACTGCTTCAGAGTCATCTGATGCCCTTTATAAATCACAGAGCTATAAACAAGCTAATTATAGCACTGCTATAGTTAAGTGTTTGTCATAAACTTTATTAACCCACTCCTACTTCAGTTGTGTTCTCTTGCCTGAGATCTTGTTCATTTGAATCCTTAACAGTGTTCATGTATCCCTTGTATGAATCCACCCAGGTGCTGGTCAGCTGTGGAAATACACATAGGTTTCCCTCTGAAATATGGAAATGACTTCATTTGCATCTGTTTTGTTCTTCTTGGTGTTTTTTATTTCAATTCATTAGCTGTCTGCAAGATAGGCTGAGTTGTCTCCATTCATTGTGCAGCTGCAAATATCTACTAAAAGCCCCCTCCTTCAGGTCTTCTAAATCACTTGGATGCTCTGCTGCCAGGTCCTGCCATGAGATTCTGTGGTATGGCACAAGCATCCCCCTGAAATGTAGTCCTACAACCATGCATTCTGAGAGTGGTTTAATGCCTGGTAATATGGAATTGCTTTAAGAAATCCTGGCTAAGAGGACAGATTTTTATGGTGAATACCATCATGGTAGCTGTGGAGTGCCCTCGTGAGGACAAGGCCTGCAGTTTTTCAGAAACTGAGGAACACTTAAATGTGCATAAGGCCCATAATTGAGCTGTGCCATAAAGATGGTAAATGCATCTTATTTATTTACCTCAAGATCCAGAGATATTTTTTATACTGATTCTAATGTTCCAGTCAATTAATCCTAGTGCCTGCATCTTCTGGACCAGCACCACATTCTTCATTTAGCTGGGATAACAGAGCAGTGAATCCTTTGCCTCTCTAGGTCACAAAGAAATAATGAAAACGAATGCAGGGAGGACATTGCCGCTGTATCACAACCTGGAGTTCAGAATATTTATTTTTGTATGTTATTTAACCTAATGTGAGTGAGAGTTGTGAGACTGACTTCTAGACCAATAAAATGTATGTTCTGCATTTAAACAATAGCTTCAGCTTAGGTGTCTTCCTTTAGTCTGGTTATATGTGATGAGTACCTTCAACTTTCAGCAAGGCAGGGGTGGCTCAAATGGGCTTCAGGAGCAGCTTGAACCTCTGCCTGCTTGGGGAAAAAAGTTACCAAACACCACTTTTCACCAGAAAGGAGGAGACCAGGATATGTTGAAAAATGAAAATTAATTAAAATACATTTACACCTTCAGAGGAAGAAACCTTTAAATTGTAATTTTTTTTTCTCCTTAACTCATCAGCACAATGTTCTGAAGTTTTTTGGCCATTGCAATGATATTGACCGTGAGATGAGGAAGTGCTTAAAAAAAGAGGTAAGCAATAAATTATAAATACTGTGAGTTAAAGGCTTAATAAAAAATGAGAGAGAACTAGAGTTGCTTTTTACTAAGTAGTATGAATCAATAAATGTAAGTACATTCTGCTGTGGGCACTTGAGACCAAATCTAAACTTTTAAAAATAAATTTGTCAAGTAAAATCTGGCATTAGCAAATGGTGTGGTGTATTTTTTTTTAATATACAAAAATAGGCAAACACATTTTAATGAAACAAATATTATAGATAGGAACTGACACTTCACAGATTGCTTCTGACTTTTTTCTTCCTTTTTTTTTTAGTAGTGGTATTTGCACAGAATTTAATATAAAGCAGTAATGGTCACCTCTGCATAAATAACACTTAAAGCTGAAGTCAGTTACACTGACTGAAACTACTTAATGAGTTGCTGAGTTAGGCCCTAAATGAAAATTTCTGCAGATATGAAGGAATGAATACTATGGGAGTTTAAATGGATTAACTGTTTTAATAGGCACATTTTTCAGAGGAGTGTTCTTTATATTTATGTTGGTTGTGCCTACATGACAGAACATATAAATGAACATTTCACACCTTTTAACTTGAAACTGCACTACCTAATTTTTTACATAAATTTCACCATACTAAAAAGTTTCTTTCCACATAATCTCATTATTCTTATTTTGTCTTCCATTGAAGCCTTTACATTAAAGGAGTTCTTGATGATTATATTTGTCTGCATTCTTAAAATGTGCTTATATTGATATGCCATTACTAGGAAGCCCTTGAAAGGTTGTTCACAAATATTGAATAGGTACAGATGTAGCTTTTAAAGATCCATTGTTCTCATTCTACATAAAAACATGGATGGGTTATTGAAAAATTAAATATTGGCAAGGGAAAAAGTTAAGCATTCTGTAAATGTTAAGTAATGTTTTGGGTCATTATTTCAGTTATAGACCAATCAGTATAATGGATGAAAAACTACAAATCCTTTTCAAAATCAATTTCTTTAGTAGTTTATTACATTATATAGAGAATTGAATATTTGTGGCTTACTTGGGTTTTATTCTTCATACCAATTATTAAAATATTGAACAAATATATGCTGTAACCTAAGGACAAGAATAATTTGCTTCTCATGAAATACATATCAAATGATGCATTGATTTTTAATTTTCATTTGTTTGACCATGAAAATATTTCCTTTTTGTTTGCAATGAAATAAAGGCTCTTCAAGCTTTTGCTAGTGCAAGGCCAACTTGAAAGCATGGTGGCTTTATACATGTATCTGAACTGTGAAGGCTTTCTTGATTCCATTTTACACTGGAGTCCTGCCTCTGTTGTAGTTCTTGTTCAAAGCATTAAAAATCCCCACATGCCTTACCCTCATTCAATCCAAATTTGCCTTTGTTCCTTTCATCTTGGTATCCTGCTTTATTTGTGCATGTAGTTAATGACCAGGATCAAAAATAGACCAAGCCTGTGATGACAAATTCATGTTTCAGAAGGCAGATGCACGTTAATCAGTATCTTGTAAAAGGAGAAGAGCCTGACCTGTGCTCTAGAATAGCACCAGTGCAACTTTTTTCTTGTAGTTCATGTGTGAAGTGTAGCTGTCTTATGTTAGATCACTGTACAATTGACTTCCTTCTTAAGATTAAGTAAATATTCTTTATTAGAATGTTCTAATACTCTTTAGCTTAATAACCTCAAACTTAGAGACTTTATTTTAATGGAATACATATTAATTTCCAAGTAAAAGTGTTAATTTCAAAGTAAAAATGAACCTATGTCTTGATAGCAATAAGAGCTATATTTCTAATGCATCAGTCAAATATATTGTTTCTGTTCCTGAGTAAAAAATGCTCTCTACAGTTTTAAATTTGACATATCTGTTTAATAGCAGCTGATCTATTAATTTCTTTATCTGTCTTCCAGTATGAAGAGAACAGGCGCAGAAACCGGGAGAAACGACAGAAGAGGATGATAAATGCTCAGAAAGCCTCAGAGAAGTGAGCTGTGCTGAGGCTGGACAGCTGCAGCTCCACAGGGACATTCACTTGGCAGCTGACAGAATACTTGTGTTTCATCACCACTGTCCAGCCTGTGGTTTGTGAAATGGTGACAAAATAAATGCATGTAATATATATTAATTCCCAACAAGACAAACAGGGTGAAAAAATAAATACAATACATCGCTCACAACATAACTTAAATTTTGACCTCTAAAAGAAAACTACTGTGGCAAGTCTTTGTTCTGGCAGTTTTATGATTAAGTAATGAAGAATTGGTGTGTGTGAGGTACTATGTGTTCAGGGCAGCTGTGTTCCCCACTTTACTGAGTTTCATTTACTTCCTTGTTTTTAGCAGTTTCTCTTTCACGTCTTGGGTTTTGTAGGGTTTTTTTTGTTTGTGTTTCATTGCAAAACACTAAATTACTTTTTCCATCACTCTTTGTAGTGTTGTGATAACACTTCTTAAATGGATTAGGAAAAAGAAATTTTAAACAGATGTGACTTGAAATTGGAAATGGCCTATTAAGGAATAATTGGAGTTCTAGTATTTTTATTGGAGCTAAAACGATGAAGCTACTGTCTTCAGCTGAGATTACAAATCCTCCCTGCTAACCATATGTACACTGTAGACTGTTGTAAGACAATTTGTTCATCATACGCAAAGCAAGCGGCTTTAGAAATTCAGAATGGAACATTTCCAGGGATTTACAAAGCTTCCCCGTGATTTTTGTTGAGTACAATCAATGTGTGCTGAGTGATTTTTGAAGAGGAGTGCTGCCAAAAATACAAGCTAAAGTTCTTCCATTTTCTCTGTTACAGAGGTAAAGGTAAGTTATGACTATTGAGGTTGAAGCAAAGCTGACACTGAAGTGAAAGGAAAGTGTAATTTTCTCAGGCAAGTCAATGTGTGTTGTGTTACCAAGTTGCCTTGTTAGCCTATAAAAGTGTTTATTTGCTATCAAACTGCCAGAAGCCCAGAACAAGTCTCTGAATTCCTAAGATTTGATATCTAAAACTACAGTGGTTTGTCCAGTGATGGAGCTGCTTCTGTGTGTCTGCTGGATTCACCTTACTTTTAAATAATGCCTCTGTTGTGCTTTGCAGCAAAAGCCTTTTTTTAAAAAATAAATTTGTTGAGCCAAATATACAAAAGTATCTAGAAAGCTTTTGGAAAAAGGGTGCCTATTCTACAGTGAATTACATGGTTTGTTGTAAGAGCCATTGTTGATACTCGAAATTGGTACATGCCTCTTTGGAAGAAAATGGTATTTTGTGAGCCCTTTTGAAGGGTGAATTAGATAAAATAATTTTACTTATTTTTCAATACCTGGATGGACCCAATTAAATTGGTAAAATTAAACCACTAATATTTTCAGTGAAAGCTCCAAGCAAAGCTGAAGCAATTTTTTCTGCATTTTGACACGCTTTGTTTCTTAGAACAAGTAAACGATGCACTGTTTGAATTAATACTTAAATGGTTGGAATGGTGCAGCCTTTATTGGCACTTCTCAGAGTATTTTCAAAGAGTACTTGGTAGTGAACTCCCTTATCTGGCAACTCTGCATCCATGATACTTCTTCCACTTGAGATGACACAACCTACTTCAGGCAAGCTCTTAAATAGGATTTGTAGTCTTTAAGTAAATAAATAAATAGAGAATTGTTCCAGAGATTAGGTTGAGAAGCTGATATCTGAGTGCAGAAGCACTGAAGCTTTTGTTTCTTTAATCAGCTTGTGTGAGTCCCAATCTTTCACACAGCAACAAAATAAGAAACCAAGAGCCACTTAACACAGCTCATTAGTCAGAATCATGTTTGCAAAGATCAATGTGCTTAGTGAATGAAAGACCAAATGGCACACACAGTTCTATTGATACTTTCAACTACATTTTATTTATAAATCTGTTTCACAGATTAGCGTTGTTTACCTAGTGAAAGTCTGATCATGGTCTTCCTTCTGTTTCTCTTTGCTAATTGCCCACTAGTAGTGTGATATGAGAGTGCCCATTGATTCCTGTGGGTTTTGTTCCTTTTGTTTGACAGAGAGTTCATGTTGGTAATTTGATCCTGAAGCTGAAAAACATTGGTATAAGAATACTGATGATTTATCTGACAGAGAAAGGGGTAAGGGTGAAATAGTAAATGCCGGGTTTTTTCTTGTTTCCTAAAGTGAGCTTGTGTGAAATAAACCTTATCTCTATAGACTTCAAAAGACATTTGATTGCAATGTCATTTGTCTGTAGGAACATTTTGCCCAGTTTTCTTTCTGAAAGAGTGCATTTGAGAGAGAAAAGAAATTTAATATAATTTGCGTTGAACTGCATGTGAGACACTCATGGGTGTTTCACATGGGAAAGTGAAGAAAGGGGAAACACAAAGGGCAAATGTCAGCTCTGGCCATAATGGTGAGGATTTTCCATATTGAAATGCCATAAAAGTCTAGGATACCTGGACTGGAGGAAGACAGAGGAAAGGGAATTAAAACTGTCCAGCAAAATCCCTCCAGTTTTACCAGAAACACTTGGTTACACTATTCATAGTGTACTTTCTCTTGCTGGAAAACTAAATTACATTTGTTTTTCTTAATTTTTTTTTTAATTTATTTTTTAGTAGAAGGAAAAAAATTCTGCTGAATAGCAGCAGCATAGTGTAAGAACAGCAGGGTGAGTTCTTGCTCTGGTGTTAATTTTACAACAAGGCTTGAATCCAGTGCTGCTGTTAAGCTGCAGTGCTGAGTGTTAAAATATTATGAATGTACTGCTCATCTTTCTCTGTAAACTTTAGTTGGTAACATCATCAAGGAATTATGTCCTTTGTTGCAGATAAAGACGATGTGTAGTTTCTAGAGCTTGAAGCAAAGCCTTGATTTAGTTGAGCTGACTGTACAATTTGGGTGAGGACTAGTCCTGAACATTTCTGATGTGTTACACACTTTGCTGAAGTTCCACACCTCATGCATGAAGTGTATTCAACAGTCAGGCATTCCTAAATTTGGCACTGCCTATGCTTTATAAAAACTCATTACATCTAATACAAATTTTTTCTAATATAAATGAAAACACACTTCTGTGGAATACCTAAAAGGATTTGAACAACAGGAAAACTGATACCAGATTCTGATAGTTGAGTTAAAAATGAATTATTAACATTAATGCTTAAGCAAAGGAGATTCTCTGCCTGGACAACATAATGGATTTTAGTTTTGCAACTTACATTACACATTGAGTTTTATTAACGTGGATAGAATGGAGTATCAGCAAATCTTAGTGGTCCCATTAGATTATTTTACAGGCTCAGTGATAACCATGCAGCTCATCAACAGAACCTGCCTTGCAGTACATGAAGGTCTAATAAAAACTTGAAAGTGAATAGTAAATTCACATCAGGTTCCCCAAGCCTATTTAAATTGCTGTGTACGAAAAAATATATCAACGGGAAGAAAATATGTATTTAGCCTGAAAATGGTTCTTGTGGACCATCATGCTTTACAATTATTCTTTTGAACTATTTGGTGACATTTTAAAGGCTGTGAACTTTCATGTGGAGCTATTGCTTTAACCAATGAGACTTTCATTGGTATTTTAATGTAGACCCTTAGATAAAACAAGATACATTTCAAATATACAAGTGAGCAGAAAAATCTTTCGGGACAGTAATTTTCTGGAAGGATGTTACTGACGGCTTGACAGGACTCATTCGCAGTACAGACGTCAGCCATCCAGAACCTGAAGATTTGTTTCAGCTTGGCAAAAGCGTCAAATGCCTTGAAGAGTACGGATATGTGTGGCTAAGTTACAGGAACTCTGATATGACCATGCCATCCCCAACACTGAGGCGCTGAGAGCAAAGGACATGTTTTGTTAGCACGACATTAGCGGTCTAACCTTTGATTGAAAACTATTCGTGACCTTTGCTGCCAGCAGCTCGACGCTTGAGTTGTTCGACTTGAAGTCAATCTGATTTCCCCTGCAGCCCCGCGCTGGCATCACCGCGCTCCGGCTGTGCCACGATGCCAGCGGTGACTGCGGCTCCGTCCCGGCGGTGCCACTGGGAAACCCCTTCCTTACACACTGCCAGGAAGAACACTGGGGATGTTTTGGTATTTTTCCCGAGCGCTGGCAGAACTCTTATTTCAGCCGACAGACACCGGACGTGACCGTGCCCAGAGCGGGGCGGCGGCCGATTCGGAGCTGCCTTGTACAAGGCGGTCTCCGCTGCCTCCCGGGGCCGGCCGCCAGCGCTCGGCGCTGCGGGATCACCGCGATCGGCAGCGCCGTCTCCACTCGCCGCCTGCCAGCCGGGAACCTCGCCAGGCTCTGCGGCCACGACCTAGCCTCCCGCATCGCTTATCCCGTTCTCCGTATCCCGTACCCCTTACCCCGTTTCCCCACGCCGTGTCCCGTTCTCCCCATCCCGCATCCCGCCCCCGTTCCTGTACCCCGCGCTGCGGGACTCGGCAGCGCCGCCCAGCGGCCGCTCGGTCCCGCGGGAGGCAGCGGCCTCCCCGCCGCGCGGGCGGGGCTCCCTCAGGCCGCGCCGCCATGTTGGCGGGGCCCTGGCTGCTGCTTTTGGCCCAGCCTTGCCATGTTGAGGAGTTGGTCCATGCCCCGGTGCTCGTGCTGTGCTGAGGAATGGCCTCAGCACTTGTAAGAACCGGGTGCTGGTGAGGTGCCATGGCCCCTGGCTTCTGTGCAGCCCAACCACAGAGTCTGCCTCAGGTAGAACGATGTCCAGACTCTTCCCTCATGGATCAAAAGTTGTCACAGCTGACCCCCGAATTCTGTCATATCCTGGGGATGCTGCTGATCCCTCATTGATGCTGAATTCTCTTGCACAATCCTACTTCTATTTATCACCGACTTTATTTATTTAAATCAAGTCCATGTTGTGCTAAGAACAGCACTATTGAAATTGGCAAACGTGGTTGGACTTTGCTGTGTCCAGTGCTGAGCAAGGTCCTGGCACAGGGCCCCATGTGTAGCCACAAACCACAGCAGGGATCGGTGCTGACATTACCAAAAATTCTCTCAATGGTGTTTGGTAGGATTAGAATACTACACTTTACTCTCTTCCACCCCCTGGATTGGTAACTATAGATATAAGAGATATTTTAGAAACAGCTATGTTGTGCTCTAATACAGGCATTCCTGTTTTCCAAAATTTAGCAGGATGTTGGAACTGGCTGATGCACCTGGCTCTGGAAGCAGCCAGGAATAAAAGGTCATCCTCAAAGGCAACTGGCATGGATGAAGTTTTGATTTATTAGTTATTCATTTTGTGCACCATAATGGTTGGTTTGTCACTTGCTCTGGGTATTTTGTAATACTGTAATTATTTATCCAGTGGCACCTTAGACCATTCATGCAACACACAAAACAACCCACCTCAGCTGTCTCTGTTAATTGAGAACTGCAGCTTTAAATTCTTAACTTCCTGGTAGCTTTCAGAGCTACATATTTGTGTGGATTATTTAGCTGTGTTTTGGGTTGGTTCATATTCTAACATTCCTAGTAATGAATATATAAAGTACTTTGTGTCTAAGTGGCATTAGTTAGACAGCTGCGGTTACAAACAGCCCACATAATCGCATTAAATCAATATTAAGTGTGTGCTACTGAATAGTTGTCTTTGGGATGTTGATGGTCCCAATTTAATTTAAACTTCATCCCACTAGTGCTTCCAAAAAACCTCAGAGGAAAACAAATCAAAAATCAAATCCCCAAACGAATAACTCCAAATGGAATAACAGATCTTTCATAATTGGTCCACAGTGGCTTCATTTAGGTGGATGTACAAGTGTGTGGTGTACAGCAGCAAAAAGTCCAAAACCTGTTGGCTGTTCACTACAAGAGAGGGAACAACTGTGGAGAATGGGTGTCAAGATTTTTTTTTTTTTTTTTTGTGATAAGAGAGTTTATTTGAACTAGGAAAATAGAAAAGACTCATTTGAGTTATGATTTCGTGTGAGGAGAAGATGTAAATACTAGAAGTTTCTTTAGAAAGCCAGTTTGTCCTCAGTGTGATGCAGCTGTGCTGCTCTTGGTTCTGTTTGCAGGATGGCCAAGAATAGATGGTGAGGGCTGAAGAGAGGCAGCAACAAGGAAACCTGACACTTTCCTCTGGAGCTAGTTGGTATTCAAAATGGAGACTCTTAAATCATCTGGTTATAACAAGGACTAGATATTCTCCCTTGGATTTTTTTTTGTGCTGGGCTTGTGTTCATGGTCTTCTCTTTCCATGCTTGGGGCTGTGTTCAAGGTGAGGGCAAAAATGATTTAGTTTATCTAAATCTCCTGGTTGGGAAGTTGCAGATTATTGCAGGGAGTGGTGCATTGAGTGGAAACCCATTTCAGTGTCCAGTAGTCACTGGAGATGTTGTAATTTTTATCTCTAGTTGTTAATTAGGTCTTAAAATGTTTTAGAAGAAACTGCATACAGAAGTTGTGTGCTATATGTATTATGGGAGAAACAGAAAGTGAAGATATACCTGCAAGGGAAGTGAGAATTCTCCCTTTAAACAGAACAGCAGGAAGAGAACCTGGTTTGTATGAAAATATGTCTTTCAACAGATTGAATATCTAAGGAATAACTTGGGACTTTAATCATCGGGACTTCTGTTTGTGACTTGATGTAGTAAAGATCATCAGGTCAGTTTTAGTGTATTGTGGTGCTGCTAAGGTGAAGTTTCCTTGTGCCCTTACACCAAAAATGGTGCTTAGGAGATGTAGGTCATGCCTGGCAGGTATGGGTCAGGTGAACTTGGGTCCGTTCTTTAGTTGTGTTCCTTCCATTTGCTGGGTCCATTCTTTAGTTGTGTTCCTTCCATTTACTGCTGCTCCAGAGGTTGCCCAGCAACTCTTGTCTGTTTTATGCAAGTGAGTTGTTAAGGAATGGAAAGAGGAAGAAGTAAAGGCAGAAATGTTGGATTGTCAAAATTATTAGTAGCATCTAAAACTAGATTTGGAGTAGTGTTGTGTGTGTGCATTTGTACCTATATCTGTGTGTATAGATATGTATAAATGTATAAAAATTGGTACAGTTTGGAAAGAAAGGAGATGACCCATTTAGCCAACATTTCCAAAATGGAAAGGTTATGGTCCTTGTTCTCCTCTCAAGCTGTCTGATGGATCAAAATCCAGCAGTAATACAACAGTGTAGCCTTAGTGAGGGCATTTACTTTTATGTCGAGATTTTGATTCAACATATGAAAA